AGAGTTTGAATAACAGGTGGGAAAACACAACAACACTTCATCGGAGGTTGTACTGATGATGTTACCCAGCACGGTAACAAAACATCTGCAAACTAATGAACCAGCTCGGGGAGTGAACCAACCACAACATCAGTCTCCCGACTTGTTCCTTTAGTGGACAGGCTTTGGGGAGCCAGGAAGTAAGTTCTTAGTCTCTGACCTACCCTTGTCACAACTGTGGTGAGTCCAGACAGTTTGTGGTAAATGATAATCTCAAAGGTGTTGACAGTGGGGGATTCAGTGATGGTAATATCATTGAATGTCATGGGGCAATGTCTTGTTGGAGCCTCTTGTTGCAGAAGATCTTTGCCTGGCACTTACATAATTTTGACACTGCATGTGGAAAAACTGACAGTTTTGCTTCATATCACCTGTCATTTTGACTGGTGCTGGGAAAGGAAATGTTGCAATCTTTCTCCAAGTTCTGCGCTCACCAGATAGCAACCTTGTGTGTTTTGTAAGATAGCTGATAGTTGATTGTGTGTGCCTCATGGAAGTAGTGACTTGACTATGGCAGACCAGGAAGGACATTTCTACATGATTGCATTTAAATCTGATCAATGAGTCTAACTGATGCAATCAGCAAAACAGTTACTATTTTTGTCAATCTATCATAGATTTAGCCTGCTAATATCCAAGCAGTACTGTATAATGGTAACTGCATGATCATACCAATCACAGGCAAATCTCTATTTTGGTAATGCTGCAAGGTATCATATTTGTTCTCGTAAATCTTCTGAGCTTTGGTTAGTAAAACTACTTATGTAAACGATTTGGATGAGAATTTAGGAGGCATGGTTAGTAAGTTTGCGGACGACAACGAAATTAGTAGTATAGTGGACAGTGAAGAAGGTTATTTAAGATTACAAAGGGATCTTGATCATTTGGGCTAAAAGGCCAAGGAGTGGCAAATGGAGTTCAATTTGGATAAATATGAGGTGTTGCACTTTGGTAAGACAAACAAGGGCAGGACTTGGGCCTTGGTAGGGCCTTGGGAAACGTTGTAAAACAGAACGATCTAAGGGTTCAGGTACATAGTTCTTTGAAAGTTGCAACACAGGTAGACAGGATGGTAAAAAAAATGTTTGGCATGCTTGCCTTCATTGCACAGACTGTTGAATATAGGAGTTGGGACGTCATGTTGCGGTTGTACAGGATGTTAATAACAGTACTTTTGGAATACTGTGTACAGTTCTGATTGCCCTGCTATAGGAAGGATATTGTTAAATTGGAGAGGGTTCACAAAAGTTATGCAAGGATGTTGCAGGAACTGGAGGGTTTGAGTTATAAGGAGAGTCTGGATAGGCTGGGGCTTCTTTCACTGAAGCCTAGGAGGTTGAGGGGTGACCTTATAGAGGCTTATAAAATTGTGAGGGGCGTAGATAAGGTGAATAACAAAAGTCTTTTCGTACAGGCAGGGGGGTTCAAAACTAGAGGGCATATTTTTAAGGTGAGAGGAGAAAAATTTAGAAGGGACCTGAGGGCAATATTTTTACATAGACAGTGGTTCTTATGTGAAATGAACTGCCAGAGAAAGTGGCGGTTGCAAGTACAGTTACAACATTAAAAAGACATTTGGACAGGAACATGAGTAGGAAAGGTTTACAGGGATATGGGCCAAACATAGGCAAATGGGATTATTTTATTTTGGGAAACCTGATTGGCATGGACGAGTTGGACCAAAGGGTCTGTTTCCATGCTGTACAATTGTATTGCTCCAATGTTAATGCAGTTGATCCATAGGTAGTTGAATAGGTGAACAGCTTCGGAGAAATGGTCTCTCATTATTTGAGATAACACAGTGTGGAGCTGGAGGAACACAGCAGGCCAGGCAGCATCAGAGGAGCAGGAAAGCTGACGTTTCAGGTTGGGACCCTTCTTCAGAAATGGGGGAGGGGGAAGGGAGCTCTGAAATAAACAGAGAGAGGAAGGGTGGGGTTGGGGAAGGTAGGTGCTACGGTGATAGGTGATTAGAGGTAGGCAGTGGTGGGGATTGGTCAGTGAGGTGGGAGGAGCAGATAGGTGGAAGAGAAGACGGACAGGTTGAGTCAAGTCAAGGAGGCGGGGATGAGACGAAGGGTTGGTCATGGGATGAGGTTGGGGGTGGGGAGACTTTAAAACTAATAAAGTCCACATTGAGACCATTGGGCTGAAGGCTCTCAAGGCAGAATATGAGGTGCTGCTCCTCCAGTTTCCGGGTGGTGTCATTGTGACACTGGAGGAGGCCCAGGATGGACATGTCGCCCAGGGAGTGGGAGGGGGAGTTGAAGTGGTTCGCGACTGGGAGGTATTGTCTTTTGTCATGAACAGAGCGCAGGTGCTCTACAAAGCATTCTCCGAGCCTCCACTTGGTCTCACCGATGTAGAGGAGGCCACATTGGGAGCAGTGGATGTGCAGGTGAACATTGTCTGATGTGGAAGGTTTTTTTGGGGCCTGGGATGGAGTTGAGGGGGGAGTGTAGGGGCAGGTGTAGCACTTCCTGTGGTTGCAGGGAAAGTGCCGGGGGTGATGGAGTTAGTGGGGACTGTGGAGCGAACGAGGGAGTCGCGGAGAGAGCAGTCCCTGTGGAAGGCAGATAGTGATGGGGAGGGAAATATATCCTTGGCCGTGGGGTCAGATTGCAGGTGGCAGAAGTAGCGGAGAATGAAACGTTGAATCTGGAGGTTAATGGGGTAATACGTGAGGACCAGGGGCATTCTGTCTTTGTTTTTGTTGCGGGGAGGGGGTGTGAGGGCAGAGGTGCGGGAGACGCAAG